GGGGGGGGGGGGGGGGGTGGTTATCCAGCAATGCACTCTGTAGCAAGCAATCTTCCGGATGAAGCATTATTGTTTGCAATTCTAGTGAGCCTTCCATCAGAACTAAGAATCGAGAGATCTCTTATCAAAGCATCCGAACTGAATTTAGTAAAAATTAACCCATGGATCCCCTCGACAACCTGCACGTTTCAAGACACTACTATTATACTTTTCCTCTCTAGTAGAGGAAAGGGGGAGGACGTAAAATGGAAACAAAGGAAAATGAGAGTATTGTTCTATAGTACAATAACTAAAGGAGAACTTGAATGAACTTACATATTCGTTAATAATGGGCAAATTAGGTGCCAGTATTGGGGATCCAAAGGTCATGGCCCGAATGAGTAGGGGAGGAAAATCTTGTACATTTTGCAAAAACTCACTAAAAACAATATCGGCCAAGTATAAGATATCATTTACGTCATGACCAAAGCCATAATGGCTTAAATAATCACGAAGTCCTAAACGTAAAGCAGTCTCCTACAAATACTTGGATCTATATATACTAACAGAAAAAATCACAAGAAAAATGAACAAAAGCAGACATCAGTGATGAAACGTCCTGATCTCAAGTCATACCAAATGAATTCCTGCTTCTACAACATTGATGTGACACCAAAGCAGCCAGTAATCTCGTTTAAAAGAACAAAAAAAAATAAAATAAATAAATAAATAAAAAACAAGAACAGAAACTAGGTGGTGCATCCACCGACTGTGACAAGCTCATATATGATACGCAGCAGTCTTATCCTAAAGGCATCCATGTAACCATTGAAAATTACAACATAACGCCATTCCTTTGTACCTAGCCTTCGTTTTGTACACTCACGTTTTTCATTATCTAAGTTTGGAAAACCATAAAGAATTTAGACCTCTATACCACTAGTAGAATGTTTAAGTCTCTAGAGAAAAGAATTCAAACCTCAATAGATAGGTTATACCCTATATCATTAAAGCATACAAGTGACAGACAGAGAATAGAACTTGGAAGCAACAGAAACTCCGATCTACAAAAAAACAACCTTTCCATGTCCACTGTTTTCAAACCATATTAAACATAAATAATATCTACAACTTCTCATTGTTCGATGTAATCGTTCAATCCCAATCACTAAGAAAACTAATTACAAGAAAGTTGTAGTGGACATACGATGAATAAAAGGTAATCCAAGTTGTTCCTCAAATTCGATGAGTCTCAGATGCTTCAACGACACATCCATACCCTGTCTCGCGGAATATGCCAAGAGAACAATTTATCATGTGCCTTCTTACACTATGCTATTTGAGCAAATAAAAATCAATTATGCAATACGAGTAACAAAAGCAATGTCAAATACCTCACCTCAAACACATCCAAGCTTCTTCATGTTCTTCATTGCCAGTAATTAAGAACAGGATTGTGAATCTCTACAAGCCAATAGTACTCAGTCACTATGACACAATCTTATAGATTGGAAAACAAAACAGTGAACGCTGTATGGAAAGCAACTAATTATCAGCATGGAGTCGAAAGTGAAAACTCCGTCAGCTTATAATATTTATATAAACGCAAAAACATATCAATTCCAAATTGATGATATTATTGGCAGATGATCACAGTAGGAACAGTGGGATAGGCGCACACCGGAATCCACAGTTCATTTCCATTAACTGTATCTATCATGTCATTCGAAGTTTTTCACCTACAGTTCTTCCATGCCTCAAAGGTCAAAATTCATGACTATATATTCTAAAAACAGGATTTCATTTTTAATGCAACTTTACTGTCAAAGGAAAAAAAGATTGTATCGGTTAAATCCAGTGCATGCTCGTGTGTATCGTTTAAGAAGCACTTAGAACAATGAAGATACAAGCAGTTCATAAAAGGCTTCGGATCCGAGAGTTCGGTAAGAAGTTTCTGATGTCTTATTGTCGAAATCGACAACAATAGTTTCAATCTGATTGAGATAGCTACTTTGTAGTGCAGTTAGCCAGTTTAGATGATATAGTGTAATATAAGAACTGCATCGCAGTGATGCGTTAATCACCACCTCGAAAAGATATACCTTCGTTTCTGTAGGTGCTCGTAACTTCCGGCTCAGTCACTTAAAAGATCAATACCATCAGCAAAGCCATAGAGCTCAATCTATGAATTACTTAGAAGTCTTAAGGCAGGGTACATTAGTCATATAAACGTTCGATTTATCATTGCACTAGAGGTATGCATATCGCTCTAATTAGAAAGTCGTACAAATAATTTCTTTCAGAAAGCAAATAAACGAATCAACACATTCTATTATTCCAAACCTAGCGATGATATTAGTTTGAATTCGTCTTCCAAGACAGAAGACATAGAAATGGATAGTGGAGCATGTAACTCAATTCATTGTCAGATAAGTTCATTCGAGTGACTAATTAAACCATAACTTGAGAATGCAAGAAAGATTCGGAACTCGAACACTCACCAGAGCAAGCTTCGATTTCTGATAACCAAAACGATCCTCCAAGCGCAATCGATCGAGATCATTACCTTCTATGAACCTCCGAGGAATCCTCTGCGGCAAGAACACCGAAGTCATCTGACTCTCCAGAAACAACAAAACAATGGACAACACGAGCAACGAAAAGCCAGCAAAAAACGAAGAACGCTCTCCTTCTAAACGCAAACCAGTAGCGATCAAACCAGGTTTGATCGAGAACGCGAGATAAAGCAATCAGACGACACATTGCCTTGCTCCTGGTGCTGCTTAAGATTTCACCTCGAAAGAGAGCGGTCACTGAACATAGTGAAGCCGAGACCACCAAAGCCGGAGTCGTCTCCGTCGCCATCAACGAGCAGAAATGACTCCGGCACCGTGGAGTAGATTGTACGAAACCTTCGCCTCATAAAAATGGCGGGAAACTGTACTGTTTGAAGCTTGGTTGTTAAGGGAACAAGAAAGCCAGAGTAGCGCGAAGCGAAAAGAACGAGTGATTCGTTTCTTTTCTTTTCTGATTCGTTTTCAGCGTTCCGTTTCGCTTTTATACCCCTCTAGTTATAGCCGACTTCGAGTACAAGAATTTCCGTCTTGTCAAAAATTAATAAATAAACAAAAATACCTCCCTTGATCCTTAATTCAATAAATAATGGCCTATTTCTTTTATATATATATATATATATATCCCGAGAGGTTGGAGAGAGAGGAAGTAACTCGACTCGAAGAAGAGAGGATAACCTCCCGCTTGACAAGGAAAATCTCTCATATGATGATCCATAAGATCCTACGTCAGTTGTAGAGTAGAACCAAACATTTCTTATAAAAAGTGTGAAAACATTTCCGTAATAGAAGCATTTTAAAATCATAAGGTAGACGGCAATAGGTAACGGATGAAAACAAATAATATTTGTTAGCTGCAGCCTTGAATTGTTACAAATGGTATCAGAGCCAGACATCCAACTATATGACAGCGAAGATGCTGACACTCAAAGGAGGTGAATGGTGAGATTTTACATTAGTTTGGTGGAAAGAGAAGAATGAAACATTCTCGTGAAGACCTCTAGAAACATAAGAGGCGAACGAAGAATTGGAAGCAATCACCTTAAAAGCCTGGTGGGCTTCACGAGGTTTCTGACTCCAAATGGGCTTTTCGTTTGAAAGCAAGCCCAAAACGGAAATGAAACCAAATAGCTGATTACGATAGTGTGGAATGTGGACATTTTCGTAATTTATATTTTACTTATTAGACGTATTTAAAACAAAAATGAATAATAAGTTTTTATTTTATTTTTAAAGAATCAACAAGTAGGTAGTTGTGGATAAATTCTGAAACGACGTCGTTTTGTGGGACAGTTTGGAAGTTGTAACCACAAATGAAATAACTATAATTCATGTTCAATAACAAATATTAAAATAAAAAAACAGATCATTTAATCATTTTATATAAATCCGTATTTTAAAAAATAATAATAAATGGTTGAAACAATAACTCAAATAAATAAATATTTGTAATAAACTTCTATTATTTCATTTATTTATTTCTTTTTTTTCCGAATAAATGGTACTAATTAAAAAAGACAATTAAATAGAAATACAAAATCTAAAAAATCTTTTGCATTAACCTAAAACTTCAGGATCAACCCAACTCTTTATTTTGGATTTTAAATTATTATTTTTAATTATTTAAAAAATTATACTCATATATTTTACCTATTATATTAAATATTAATAATTAAAATCTCATAAAATTAAAATATGAAATATTTATAAGTTATAATATATCATTAACGTCGGTTGCAAAAGTGAAATATTTTAATTTTCATTAGAGTACAGTAAAATTGTACCTTATTTAGTATTGGTCAGGTAAAAAACCGATCCAAATTTTAATTTTTCGAAAATTCAAACCAACTCCAATTAGAAAAAATATAATCGGGTTGAATTTTACATATATCAATAAGAAATAGATTGAATAACCAAGATTTTATTTATTAAACTTAATTCTTAGAAATTAAAAAATAAATAATTAACAAATAAAGTTTAAATTATTTTTTTAGCAGAAAATAGTAAAATTAGAAATATGGCAGTAAAGAACGTGGGTTGACTCGGGTGGTTAAACTCCAACCAATAAAAAACAAAACGTGTGGAGCATTATGCAGTAAATTTTGGGAGCTGTGCGAGCTGCGTGGCTGCGCGGGCATTACTTTAATTTGACTTCTAATCCATTATTACCTTCTTAATGCACGTTTTAGTTCGTGCTTAGCCTTTTTTTTTTTAATTTTTAATATAATTTCAGAACATTATTTTCATTCTTTTGTGGTCCAAAAAATCTTTCATTATCTCAAGATTTGGTTTCTATTTAACATTTTTTTAAAATCAAGTTATTAAATTATAAATATAAATTGAAAGTAGAATGCTGGAGATGAGTTATATATATATAATAAAAATACTAATTATGTGACAAGAACATTAGAGATGGTATTAAATTGAAGCTTCTTCCGGTAGGTTTTGGTTCGGGACGAATTAAGATAAAAATTATAGGACACGTGATGCTCAAACAAATGAGTAAAACAAAAATAAATTGATACCAGGTTCGAATGAGAGTAATCATTAGGATGTGAATTTATGACTAAAAATAGTTTAAAACAAATAATATAGTTGATGAAAGTCCCTCAAATCAAACTAGTTGTGTGAGTTGCATTCATTTAACATGGGATCAGAATCATGCAAACTTAGTCATATTAATAGAATCCCCAAATGTATAAGGAATATAGGAGCGAACCTCAATTAAGAAGATATCATATATTTTTTATTATTATAATTATTATTTTGAAATATTACGTTCGTGTATTCACTTGATACACATCTAGTTTTTCAGATTTGTATGTCCAAGAAATCTTGTAAATATTTCATGTAACCAAACATATGGGGTCCTCATATTTAATACCATGCTTATATGAATTATCATTATTTTGAATTAAATATTAAAAATGCATATTAATAATATTTTTTTATTAAATTTATTTATTTTCACAGTCGCGAAACATCTTAAAAAAAAAGGAAAAAGAAAGGGAAACATGAATTTTAAATTTGACAATGACATGTCTATTTATTGTTTTAAAAAAAATTATAAAAATGGTAAGAAATGGTCTAAATTTGTAAGGAAATAAAAAATAATAATAAGTTCATATAAATAACAACAAAATATATTACTTTTTTTTTATTTTTTAATTTGCATATAATAAAAAATCCCGAATGTGAACATTATTTCCATATTTTCACTTTAATTTATTAAATATTAAAAAAGAAAATTAATAGTAGGTAAAATAAAAGGTAAAAATTAATTACCGTCACCATTTATACCAATTGAAATATTAAACATTACGTACACCTTAGTCAGCTGTATTCAAAGAAGACGATAATAAAAACAAAACTCAATAAAAATAAAAAATAGCATAGATTATAAGGGTATGGTATAAGTGTCAAAGTTTTGAAATTTGTAGTAATTATATAAATATTTTACAAAAAAAAATAATAATAAATAAAAATTGTGTATAAGCATAAGATAATAATAAGCGGATGATTAATACTGAAATCCAAGCAGTTGGTAAGCTACCAGACAACTCACGTGGAAAGATTCACTTTTTGGCTATGAGTTGGTATTTGGTAAACCCAATCCCATCCAAAATCCTAATCCAATTTTCACCCCATTTTTTTTAAAAAAAATGATTATATAAATATTATTTATTTGTTTATTTATAAAATTATAATCCAAGGTATCCGATGCTCCAAAACGCACCGTTTTGGGCTTGGATCTTCCCGATTGAGGTTCGTTTCCTGCCGCCGCTACTCCACGCGCGTGATCCCACCGTTACATTTATGGCAAATTTACTGACTTATTCCGAGGGTCATTCCATAAAATATTATTATTATTATTTATATATTTTAATTGGATTAATTACCGAAACAAATATAATATATATATAGAAAATATTCAATAAAAATAGCGTGAATTTAAATAAAAATAAAATAATTATGGAGGTAACCTTTTACCTTAACTCTCCATCATCTTTACAAAGATTTTATCCTTATCTGAAAAATAAGAGTAACACGAATATTTTGAGAAATATTAACTGTAACAATTCAAGTCTGCCGCTAGTAGATATTGTCCACTTTAGCTCATTACGTATCGTCATCAACCTCATAATTTTAAAACGTGTCTACTAAGGAGAAGACGTCCACACCCTTATATGAAATATTTCGTTCACCTCTCCACTCCAACTTATGTAGGATCTTACAGGAACTTTATAGTTGGGATCGAAACATGCTAAGTGCATGTGATATAATGTTGGTTGGCTATTTTCGGAACAATCTAATTATTTTCATAATATTTTTAATTATTATATTTTGTTAAATTAGAATAGTACAAATAAAGGGTGGAAATTCAAGACCATATATGATTATAATAAACAAGAGAATATTTAAAATTTCACGCAAAAAGTTTGTCTGGATCGATGTTGTCATGCATCCAAACTTGCAAACAAAAATTCAAAAGAAAAAAAATAAAAAAATAAAAATTTGGGAAATGCCACGTCAGATCCGTGGCATGTTTATGCAACATTATGGTAGGTTTGAACAGCAAGTTCCTTTCTTTTGCATGTGCAATCATATGAGTATGTCACGAGAGACGACATACGAACATGTAGAAAAATAAAGGTGCGAGTGACTTACACGCGCTGTTGAGCGCGTGTGGGAAAAAGCATGGATTGGCCTAACGAACTTTCTCTGCAGCAGTGTCCACATGTCTATGTCCAAAAAGCAAGAGAGCCCACGACGCCCAGATCGGGCAAGGCTATTAATTACCAGATCGCCCCAATCTTAACATGATCCTTACAACGGATACTTTTACTTCTCTTGTACATTCGACACGTGGCTTCTTCTTATTTGTCACTTCTATCAACTTCTTACTCATTAGTATTCTTACTCCTCTAGCTCAATCAAGCACAAATCATGTCGCGACACTCTGCCACATTGCTCATTTGAAACTCCGTTGTTCATCGGAGTTCAATATGAGC